TTGTTGATTGTTGATAAAAGTAATTAGATATACCTCTTGATAAATACTAGATTTACAATTAAAAAATAAGTCGTTTAACTTCTTACTTTTCTTCTTAACAGCTTTAAATATCTTCTTGTTGAGATAGTCATTGATTTCTCTGACGCTACTGCCGGCAGTGTCCATGGCCAGCTTGATGACGTCATCGTCCTCAATTTCAAACTCTTGGCGAATCTTATCCGTTAGCAAATGCTTGAACAACTCCATTCTTTCGCTCTGGAAAATATCAGAGACTAAGTTAATTCTGAGCATTATAAGTCAACTTTGAAACTACTGAATTTTACATAACCCATCCCCGAAGGGGTAGACAGAGGAGCATATTATGAATTTTACAAAGATTTCCTTTTACCAGTGGAATGTATACTTTTCATGGCTAAACTAATTTAAACTAGTATGCCACGCTTCTGATGTAAATCTAGGTTAAAGTAAATGCTTTTGTTTGTTACCCAATTCATGTTAGGTACCGGTTTATTTAATTTTAAATAACCTTTTATCTTTCACGAACCAACCTTCTCCAAGTCGGGAATATCAAATTGAGCAGTGAACAGTGGCTTCCCACTGAACTGTCGCAGCGTGGGATGCAGGTCCTTGGTACTGAGCGCCGTCATCAACACGCACACACCTGTACACGTCTGTAGCAGGTGCTTTATCACCACAGCTAACCTAAAAAAGCAAAAATTCGTATATTAATACGTATCTGAATAACCACTTACATAATATTTAACTATAGTAATATTCTATACTACTGAAGCTAGAATAGTTCTAGAAATTGGATTTTTTTATTGTACCGAAATCGTGTCTTTAGGGATGTTCTCAATTTAGTGGTTGTCTACTCCAATGAACGCAGGAAGGATAACAAGCTTTGATAATTACTCAGTTTGCTTAATACCACATTAAATTTAACAAATTACTTAAAAGTAACTATTACAGTTAACCTTTTTATAACCAATTTAATACAAATGAACAAAAACGTGTTAAAAAAAAATAAACACACTATGATAACCATCAAAAAACTTAATTGAACATTTACACATTATTTCATAGAACTCCTTACCTCTGATAATAAGCAATATCCTGAGGAGAAGCACCTTCCACATTCGGTGGAACCAGTGCATCAACATCATCACAGATTAGAACTGATGGACTATGTTCCTGGCACATCAGGATTGCTTTACCAAGGACCTCAGACACGTCCTTACGACCTCTCAGAGACCGGCAGTGAAGAATATGAGTCCAAACTGTTAGCTCTTTCTGAATTATCTGGCAAAAAGAGGATTTTCCTGTGCCACTTAGTCCTGGAAAAACGTATCATAGTTATTTTTATTTTTACATGGCCATACCTACGACAAAGCAGCTGAATTTACTCCTTTGTCGTGAGTATGTTACCAAACAAAAAAATTAACACTCATACCCATTTGTTTAGTAATTGTAGTGTTTTAGCTTAACGGACTACTTATGAGAAGCCTTTACTTTAACTCTTTGGTTTCTGCATAATAAATCCATTGAAGTTGACTCAAATTGTAATGTAGGTAATCAACTGATTGAAACTCACCGGTAACTAAAACATTACTCTTAATCTCCGAAGCTCCTTTAAAAGTCGCTTCTCTATGTATTTCAAAGTTTAAATGTGCCAAAACCTTTTGGACTAAGTCCTCCATAGATTTCATAGTTCTACAGTAATATTTATAGTCATAATCTAACTTTGAAATTAACGCTTTTGGTAAGGCCATGTCCGTATCACTTAGACATTTGGCTGCTATGCTGCAAGCTCTAAAAGATTCAGAATTCAGCATTGTGAACTTCATTTTCTCAGGTTTTAATTTAAATTGTAAGAACCCACTACAGATTTCATTATTCTGTTTAATTAAACCATTATTTATAAGGAACTTTTTGCCGGAATGTGTACTGCTAATGACACAGTTCTTGAATTTCTCTACAATATCCATTTCTGATTGTTGTTGGTCTGAATAAGTGACTATATCAATGTGATCAGGCTGTTCTACACTGTCTCCGATTATACTGAAGATGACTCTCATGCCATTTTCAACATTTATTATAGCATTTAAAGCCTTTGGTATAAGTACCGTTGGTATGTTTCTGTTGTGCACTTCTCGGCACAAACTCCTGTAGATCACGGAGTCTATTGGTACTATCTCCACACCAACATCATTTATGGGCACATTATTATTCTCAGTATCATCATCATTGCTTAAAATAGAAGGTATACTAGACATTGTAGATAGAATTATTGTTAGATTCTTATATTTCTCCTCTATAATATCCTCATGAATGAATACTGTATATGGATGTATCAAGTTCTTTTTACCATCACTGTCTATCGGAACAGCTCTGAGAACTAATTTTGCTGGTGCATTTAAGTAGGGGGCTAGCATGCCTTTGTTTATAGCACCTATGTTCTTAAACTCTTCATTTTCTTTTGGTGCAGTGACTGGTAACGCTGGGTAGTTGTGAAGGCTATTGAAAGCATCCATTTTAACAATAATTTGGCTATGATTGACTAGAATGCCCGTCTGTTTGGGTGTAAAAACTACGGGCAGTGAAGCTGATATCCAAACTACTGCCTTCTGATTGGACACTACAAGGCGCAGCTGATCTAATATGCGCATTTGTAATAGTTCTACATTGTGCTCCTGAAATATAAAATGTTACAATAATTATAACCAAGAAATAAATTATGTGACAAAGTCAGGAGTCAACAATCAGCATGTGTCTTTATTATTATTATTATTTTAGAGGTTAACCAAAGTGTAATAGTGTTTTATATTTTTATATAAAAACAACTATTTACCAATATCTCCTGATCATCAGGACTATCAGTCTCCACATATAGCTCATCTAACACCTTCAGGTCAGAATATGGAGACACAAAGGCTTCAACCCCCTCCTCTAACCCCACCATCCGGCTGTATATTGGATTGCAAGCTATGTGACCTTCTGGAACACCACTGTGGAACACCACCCATAACAGGACCTGTTTGTCCCTGCACAGGACTTGGACACATTGGGTCTGCAAGATATTTAATAATGCTTTAACAAGGAAATTATAATTATTTATTTTGTTTATTACACTCGTAATATTTTTTTTGTGAAACCACCTTAGTGTAATTTTAGACACTCAGGTTAGGTACAGAGGCAGATTATACGCTGGAATAATGAATGGGGTAATTTGTATCCCATGAATGCAAGTGAAGACTGGCAGAAGCTAGTATTAAATGGTACATTGTTAGCTTAGCTTAGATCCATGTTAAATTAAACTGTCAAACACCAAGCGGTCACCGGTGACCGCAACCTATTGTTCTATAATTGTGTCTATAATGACGGTACTCGACGAGTTAAAAATAGGGGTATTACATGGGACTTATAACATAAATAGTGACAATTTGGTGGTACATTCTAATGTGCACCTTTACATACACCTTCGATAATGGTGATAAAAGGTGTGATGATATTTATTTATTAAAACAATTAAAGTAATTTAAGATAAAATCTTATAATAAGTAGTAAAGCAATTATTTGGTATGTAGCTTAGAAAATAAAGATTGATTTAGTGCAGAGAGTCTAACCATTGATTGGTTACCAACATCAGTTAGGAAATGAATCCCCATGTATGGAGGTATCTGTCAAAAATCAATCCTTAGTCAATCCACTGATTTTTATTGACATTTGTTATTAATTTCGCCCTAATTCACAAATGGTTACAAAAGATAATATGGCTTTTTTTAATAAAACATACAATTTAGTATAACAAACAATAGGTAATAACTGTACTAATGAGGTTATTTATGAAGATAAATTTTTAGGGACTTTCATTCAGGAACTTGCCTTGCTTGAACAGCCCCATTAGGACATATTTTCTTACTTCTAACAATCCATAACAAATGTACACAATGCTTGCATAAATCTATAAGTAATGAAGCATTATAGGTACTTGTTGTAGGTACCTACTGTTATGCAACTCAAAACGAAATTGGATGAATTTCTAAATCTGAATTGATAGTACAACTAAATTACTTAATTATAATTAATTATGATCATTGCCTGCTCAATAATGTTTACCATAATTTTTTACAAAATGTTCTGCCATATTTTATTTTTACTAAATTTTGTAAGTATCTTTAGACACCTGGCATGTGAAAAAGAGGTAGAAATAGGTCATATATTTATTTTTTAAATGCAATAGCTTTGTGGGAAACAGCTGGCATTCAATTTAACAAAAAAATACTTATTGAATATTTTAGCTCAGGGTCAATAGTTTTGTCAGGTCATTGCCTATACAAGGTTAAAAAAAATATTTTACAAATAGGGTTATAAATGTCCTTGGGGTGCTTAAATAATGAAATCATGACATACAAAATAATGATAACTATAAATGCAAACAATGATGATCAACAATTCGCGTAATAGTAAACAACATTCTAACCTAGACAAAAATATTGTACATCGGAATAAGTCATTATTTAGGGCTTAAAGGAGGTTATATTAATTGGAAAGTCAATCTTATGATGAAATTTCGTGATTTATTACCTGTTCATTATTTGTACTGTACTTTGGACTGATATAAGCAAAGCAAGTTTTTTCGTGCGTAAATACCACTTTGAGCTTAACTCCTCCCAACATTTTTAATTCGGGTGTTGTAATATTTTCATAAGGTCTAATGTGTTTCCGAAAATAATCCCTTTGTTATCACTTTATTTTAATTAAAAATCAAAACAGCAAGTACAATGACCACATCTTATCAATTGCGTTTCATACACTATTTAATCTTGAACATTTGACATTTCTATTGATAGTAATTATTTTAGCAAATAATACTTTTTATTCATTGATTAAAGATAATTTGAGTAACATTTACTGAAAATAGTACGTAATTTCGATTTTAGATTCATACGTAAGTATATTTTTGTATTTCTTTCAAATCAATACACTATTTTGGTGATAGTAAATAAACAACCAATGCTAAAAATTATAAAAAACAATATCACCCTGGAATGCTCCATCAGAATCCTTCGCTTTGATGTTTTGACGTAAACGTTCCGTTTACGAAAACTGAACTTGAGGTATTGTGAAAAAAAAATATTTTTAATCGCAACTTCCTGATATACTTCATTAAATTTCAAAAAAGGCATATAAAGTTATGAGAACCCTTCAAACAACATTTTTATAAATTATTTACTTAAAATTAAACGATATGCATAGATTAAACTGCATACATAGTCTTATCGCGTTTAGTTGCAATTTATTGCATTCTACGTGAAACGGATCGCACCCTCCCTCCCTTTGCATTGGTTTACCGTTGAGCCAATGAAATTTCAAAGTAGTTCAACGGTTTTTGAAGACGTTTCATCAGTCCGGTGTCTTGTTGAATTTATCTGAAATTTAGATAGAAATAGTCATATTGAAAATAAATATTAGGCCGTGTAACTTCTAAAGTAACCACGATTCAATCAAAACGGCTACCGCCGTAAAATAAATGTGAGTACAAATTACAAAATAAACGTTAGATAACCGTTTGACGCTGTGTCGATGTTCGCTTGTTTTGCCTCCATTTTCAATCGTTAGCCGTGACGATTTTGAAACGCTTGTTTACGTTTACATATTAATTTACAAGTTTGTGGACATTGTAGAATTATAAAACCGTGTTAATTTACCACGTTAATGAGTGCACGTGATATATTTGTGGGATTGTTTCAGTACCTCCATAATGGCGCCAACAAGGTTGGCATCAAAGCCGATCGGCGTCAATGAGAACTTGAATGGTTTACTGGGGCATGGAATTACGACGAGGAGTAAGCAACTGGCTTCTCTGAAAACCCATAAGGATAGTTTGAAGGTTCCAAACAAGAGGAAAGCTGATAGCCCTTTGAAAGATGTTACGGCAAAGCGAGCAGCGTTTGGTGATATCACCAACGCTTTCAACAAGACCACTGCGCTCCAGGATAAAGACAAAGTCATGGGGGTGAAGAAGGTTACTGTGGAAAGTAAAATGCTCCCGACTGTGAAGGTTTGAACACTTCCTTTTGTTATAACTTATCACTAGAGGGTACTTCTATTCGTTATTCCTTTAGAATTGCTATGGCATTTTATTGATATTATTCGTTAAAGTTCACGTGGTGAATTCTGCAATGTTAGGTGTGGGATTTGCAAGCATAATATGGGTCAATGAACTTTCCCTCCAAAACCAACATTCTGCAAAATGTGGTATTTTATTTAGGTGATGGCTCAACTATATTTATTGTACTTTAATGGACACATCTTGACATCTTTCCCGACATTTTGACTGTAATACAGTGGTAATAATATGACTTCAACAAATACGGCCAAGGTCAAACAAATCTGCAAAGATAATAAAGTTTACTTGTAACTTTGTTTTATCATTGTTTAACAAGAAGTTTTATTTACATTTTATTCAATGTACAACCTCTCTGCAGCATATTTAACTGTATAGTCTTATTGTAAACTATAGTAAGTTAACAGCTAGATATAAACTTTATTTCCTTCTCTAAGTACTTCTTCGTCTTCTAAGTACTTTTATAAAATATATATTCTTTATTCTAACTAAGAATTTTCTTTTAGAGCATCAAGCCACAGACAACACTGAATGGGAAAACCTCCAAAGCTAAAACACTGCAGCGAGTGGCAACAAACGCAATTGATGCAGTGCAGAAGCACTTTGCCAAGGATCCAGTGAAACCAGTAGCTACCAGGGCACAGAATGGCATCCTCAAGAACATTGAACAGAAGAAAGACAAGAATGTTAATCAGAATCAGAGCCAGAACTCTGCCAAGTCGGCCAGGAGTGATGTCTCTGAACCATCCCTGTACATGACAGCTTTAGAAACTACGTTAGTTATCTTTTTCTTTTATTTCCTTAGATTTTTATGGTTAGAAACCGAAGAACAGACCTTGGTGCAAGGAAGGTTGTATGAATGTGTATTATGGATTCCATGGTATGCTTGATTGAAAGGAGTTTGATGGTTGGTATTTAAAATTGACTGAATGGACATTGCCATAACTGATTATAGTCATTGTTATTTTATTTGTTATTTTTGCATTTTCTTTATTTTTTGGTTGGTGCTGGATGAAGTTATTTCACTGACTAGTCCATGTGGAGGTGAAAAAGTTCGCAATATGCTCATGGGCATCTCACTCCAATAGATTCTTTATATTGTTATGGTATTTGACCTTAATTGAATGACCCACTTTTCATGAATCTGGATCAGCAATCCAATAATACATGCATGCATTGAGGTTTTGTGGTCCGCGTCGTTAGCTCTGGGTAACGCTAAAGGAAAGATTAAATTATCAATATAATTTTACTTGGGATCAGTAAAAAACTAACACTTGGTATTGCTTCCCTCAGGTGGGCGCCACAATATTTTCGCCCGGGGTGTCAGTGGCCCTTGCCGCCGGCGGCACTGGTTCCTCTACTGGACTTATTGCCATTGCTCATAATTATAGGTCTAAATGAAAATATTTCGTACTTTCGTCTACTTTACTACATGAATTCAACAGTAGTAATGTTACAGTAGCTGTGTATGTCCTAGGTTGTCTAATGTAATTGACTCCCTATTGCATGATGCCTAATGCATCATGTTATCCTCTGCCTTTTCTTTAAATAATTAAAATAATGTACTATTTCTATAGCAGCCCATCAGAAACTTCAAAAGAGGAATACAAGACTATAAGTGAGAAGCTAGACAAGGTGAATCTTGATGACACCATCCGGTCTTTGGATGAAGAGACTGAGGTACCTCACAAGCCACCCTCGGACGTTCCAGACTTTGACCAAGAAAACTGGAATGATCCCTTCCAAGTCTCCAACTATGCTATGGATATTTTCAACTACTTGAAAAGTAGAGAAGTAAGTATTAGTATCTATGAAAATAATATTCTAATGAAAATAAATATAAACATTTAGATATGTTCGGCAACTTACACTATATAAGCATTGATAATACCGTCGAGAACATATTTTGTGAAAAATAGTATTTAGTAGGACAGAGAACACAGTCTGGAATTGTGCCTGGTATATGGCAATAGGCTCACCCCCTATTACATGGGACTCATAACAGAAATAGTGAAAAGTGGGTGTTACTTAACTCGTCGAGTACCGGTTTTGTAGACACAATTATAGAACAATAGGTTGCGGTCACCGGTGACCGCTTGGTATTTGACAGTTTAATTGTACAGTGGCATAATGTACACCTCTGCCTACCCCTTCGGGGATAAAAGACGTGATGTTATGTAGTATTTACCACCAGCATTAAAAAACTTGATTGATCTCCATTCATTGATAAGAAAAAGCAACCAACCATTAGCACTTTCCTAGTGTATCCTTACTATATTATCTCCTTCCTTTTAGCGCCTTTTCCTTGTTGATGACTATCTTCAAAGGATGAAAGGAATCACTTCATGGATGCGAGCGCTTCTTGTCGACTGGATGGTGGAAGTACAGGAGAGCTTTGAACTGAACCATGAGACTCTATACCTTGCTGTGAAGCTTGTGGACCTGTTTCTAACACGTTCATCCAAGACACAGCCTGAGAAGGACCATCTGACGAAGGAAGAACTGCAGCTACTTGGTGCTTCTGCACTTTTTATTGCTTCTAAGTTCGATGTAAGTTTACTAAGTCTAATACATATTTACTACTAGCTTCTGCCCGCGACTTCGTACGCGCAATCCCGTTTTCTCCTGTTCCCATAAGATTTTCAGGATTTTTTCTATCATAAGAACCTTCTGACTATACTAAACACAACAAAAAAAAACAGCCAAATCGGTCCAGCCATTCTCAAGTTATGGTGTGACAACGGGAAACAGGTTTCATTTTTATATAGATAGGTAAGCTTGAGCTAAAAATTTTGCTACGAGTGTGCTCGTGATTCATCTGCGCACTTTTTCTTCGTCGTTCATTACACATTTAATGCTAATATCTGTTACTGTGTAATCAGTAAATTTTTACGGTTTTCTAGGATACAATTTTTCATTTAGATTCCATTGATGATACCAAATGTTAAACGACATTTTGCCATGTAGTAATTTGCTCGAAAACGCAGTATCATAATGCATGTTATATTTGTTACTATAGGAGCGCATCCCCCCACTGGTGGATGACTTCCTGTACATCTGCGACGGCGCTTATACGTTGAGCCAGTTACTCAAGATGGAGATGAACATTCTACGTGTGGTGGACTTCGATCTTGGCATCCCCTTATCCTACAGGTTCCTCAGGAGATACGCCAGGGTAAAAACTGATTTTATTACTATTTCAAGACAACACAATATTTATTTGAGTTACAAATTGTGCTGGAAAAGAATGGTTGTTAATTTTCTCTTGTTTTAAAATCTTTAGTGTGCAAGAGTGTCGATGCCGACCCTAACTCTGGCGCGCTTCGTGCTGGAGCAATGTCTGCTAGAGTACAACTTGCTGGAGTACTCAGACAGCAAGATGGCAGCCGCCGCTCTCTACCTGGCGCTCAAAATGAAGTCCATCGGAAACTGGACACCCACTCTACAGTATTATACAGGTCAGTTGTTTATGGCTAGAATTCGTATTACTTATATTATATTATTAAAAATTCAGGAAAAATACAATTTAGATATGTAAAAAATTTCCCAGAGATATTAAATGGTCTAAGTTCATTTTTACGGTTTCAACAAAAATACGTTTTGTTTCTTAGGGTACACCGTCAAGGATATCCTCCCCATCGCAATCGCACAGAACGCGACACTGCACAAGAAGCCAAAATCCGCCATCAGCACAGTTAGGAACAAGTACTCCCATACGATCTTCTTCGAAGTAGCCAAGGTACCTCTCATCGAAGACTCGGTGCTCTCCAGCTGAGGAAAGCCCAGTGGCGCTTTACATGCTGTACAGACTATACTAAGGTGGGTCCAAATTTTCTAATAGATACATTTGTAAAGTCGTGTGTATATTATTTGGAGGCTAGCGGACGAACGATGTCTGACCCAAGTTGCAATGTACATAAAATTCACGCTTCATAAGTTCTTATTTATGTAAAGTTTTTGTTGTTATTGTTGTTTAATTTTCTGGCTTCATTGCAGTTTCTATTTTATTTGCTTATCCTGTCGCTCATGATTGAAAATGTATTTATTGAATTTGGACAAGTGTTGATACTTTCGAGTTTCATAGTTCATATTAAATACTTATGAATTTAAAATGACGGAAACAAACTGTGCTATTATTTGTTAAATCTTTGAATTAATCATAATTATTATAACAATTTACTTTCCTATTTAAAGTTTAAGAAGACAACATTTGGCAATAAATTAAAAGTGATCTTGCGTCAGACTGAACTCGGTCCGCGCTGCCGTAGACTAAGAAATCGCAATTGATAATTTGTGTTACTTAATTATTGTTATTTGCTGTCTAATTTAAAATATGTGAACGCTTCCGATGTAACGTGTAGCTCGTTCACGTGAAATTAATGGAAATTGACAAAATTCGGACCTTCGAGCGAGCTACAAAGGCGGCCATCAAGGAAACCAGTAAAATGTAAGGTGCCACGTTGGCTCAGTAGTACTAAACGTTTTAATTATAAGTAGTTTGACTAAACTAGACAATTTTCCTTGGGTCTACCAGCCCGAGTAGATAATAACACTGCCATTAAGTGAACATGTAGGTAGTGGAAAACCTAGATGAATTAAGAATTTGTGTTAAGCGCACGAATTATTAAGCGTTATAAACTATGGTACGAGTTGTTATGTGAAGTTTAACTTTCGGTTAGTTTAAATAATGAAGACTGAAATGTTTGTTAACGTAATAGCGTGGAGTCAGGGTAGCCTGATCAAATTACAGATTTTGTCGAAGATGTGCCATATGTTGCTATGGTACCTGAAACTCGAATGTTTGACCAGGAGGATGAAGCCTCAATAAATAATCCCAGTTGAATGAAACACCAAGTTTCTATGAAACAAGTGTTTGAAATAATAAATGACGTAAACCAAAATCTCATCATGTCCTGTCTGACCTCAATAGACTTTACCAAAAATCAATGCCTAATATCCACATTCCAATATTGTTTTACTTCCGCCTCTGCTTATTATATGAATAGTATGACGCTGTCTTCCTATGTGAATTTAACGTGTTAATCGGCTATGTATTGAAGTGTGTATTTATCAGAAATGTACAAATATATTATAACACTTTGATTTGTAATGTCGGGGACAGAGATTTTAAATTCTCGGTGCGTAGTTTGAAAGTCGTCAAAGTTTATATTTTGTACATGAGCGCTTTCGCTTATATGATAAATATGCAATGCCTAGGATTATTTTATGACTAGCATTTGTTGAATCTTTGAGAAATCGCTAGCCTCAACTGTACAGTCGCGATCATAAGTGTTATACAGTAAAATCGAAATGATTCTCAATGAATTTAATTATTCCTGTTTTAATCGTATTATAGTATCGTAGTAGTCGTATCATTGTAGATTTTATATTAGGTTATTTTGTCTTATTGCAATAACACTTATGTGCGCGCCGGTACTGTGCGGGCTTGAACAGCGCCGGATGTGTAAACGTTTTTATACATAATATTATGTATTCTTGGCAAGCTTTGCTAATACTCTTTTAATTATAACTTATTATTAATGGATTTTGTAATGTTTTAATATAATTAATTTACATAGTAATTATTGTGAGATTATTCGCATCATTTGTCATATGTTTTGTAATTTATCACATTTTAAAGAGTACAAAATATTGGAATGTTATAATAATGTTGTTCGTTTAATAATAAGTTTTAGAATAATTGTCACTTTGAAAACTGTTTTCTTCTTGATAATATTTGTCGTCTAATTATACAAGGTTAATGTAAAACTGACGTGTAAATAAAAGTGATTTTGGTTTGGTAACGTGTTGATTAATTAAACCAGAACTATCCCTCATTAGACTAAGGGCTCACGACACGATTATCTCCCGCGCCCACCGCTGTGGCGGAATGGAGGTGGAATTTTCAAATGCAGTAATCGCCCGCCAACCGGTCGCAGACAATCCTCAAACAATAACAACCGCTGCGGGCGTCAAGTGCACCGTGAAAATTGCTTTGATTTTTTATACATATCTGTCAAGTCAAAATCATTTATTTCAAATAGACCACGATGGCACTTTTGAACGTCAAACAACAAAAACATTTAGAAGTGAAGCTAGTTGCTCATTCCAAGGTGTAGATTCCTATGGAGAAGAACGAGCAGAATCAGGTTTACAATACAATTCTCTATTTACATAGTTTTATTGGTTTGATTATGTGAGAACAATGCAACACCTAAATCCAATCAAAGAGACTGAAAAAGAAAATAACCTTGAGGATAATAAAATAAAATGATACAGTCTGGAGCTGACCAGTTCCAATCGACGGTGCCCGTTCACGAACATATGGCGTACCCCAGCACCGCCCAACTCAACCATTTTGTAGGGAATCGAGCGATCCAATACACGTGCCACCGCCAATGAGATCTTTGAGTGAGCATGACAACTCCAAATCTATTCTACAAAGGCTGCAGTGCAGCCGCGGCGGGCGCGGGCGAACATCGCATCCAATGAGCTTAGTACCAACACTGTTTGTGTGAGCTGCTATCACGAACATTATTTATCGTAAATCTCTTTGTATCTGTAATTCATGAAATCATCATTTTCCGAAAAGTGTATAAGAACAAAGATTCTTCTTATTTCAGATACATTCTTATTCAGAAATCGCGGCTTACAGTGTAGCGCGAATTGAAATTTGGTCAAAATGAATGTTTTTCAAAATGAAACAAAGTAAATTATTCATGTTGTGATTTAATCACACTTGAAAACAAAATGGTTTTTCCAGCAGTCAAACCTGACATCTTGACTAATACATACATACAAAAAATTACGAAAAAATACCTACTTATACACGTAGGTAAACACGGGACAAGATGTCGTGGCCTTACAACTTATATACATAGCACAAACTATATTAACACAAATGCACGTTCAGGTCACGACTGCAACCATGAGGTAATCCGAAAAACGATTAATTTCTGTCAGCAACACAATTATTACAAGTGTTATAAAAATTACATTTCGATACATGAAAAGATTTATCACATTACATACAATTCTACTCCCGGTGCCTACAGGAGGGCTCATTAATTAATTTACAAATCATTGAGATGAATTATTTGATAATGAAATACAGGTGGTCTTATACAGATCGCTTTTACTATACGTCAACGATCTATTTTCATTTAAAAGGAATGGAGTGCTTTGTTACGTCCACGTCGAAGATTAATGATTATAATTCAAGAGAAAATTAGATAGTTATAATTATTTTTGCACCTGTGCATTATAAGGTGGCTGGCTAAACCCATTGTCTATTTTCGTAGTTTAATAAATGCGGACAAACAAAGTCACCATAGATCTAAATCATGTATATAAAGTTTAGGGCAATCTATAGCTAAAAATATGTAGATCACATTTCCTAAGCTATCAGAAATTATAAGGCAATGCTGTGGTCACACATTACGGCGTAGTGGAGAAAAATATTGCACAATTTACGAACATGCGGAGGCATGGCAGGAACTAGAAGTGTCTGTGACAATTAGAAATGAGTAAGGTACTATATTATATTCATTAGAAACGTAAAACAAAGATTTCGCGCTGTCATTTCTGGTGCTGCAAGACTTCTATTTGTATTTTGATTACGATGAAATAAAATAGCCATATTGGGTAACATTGGGCCGTTACATAAATACAGAAACTCACGCCTTTCTTTCATAAGTAGAAAGTCCATGTTTATATATGGGTCTTATCGGAGCAAGTTGGGGTGGCTTAGAAAACAATGAAAGTATTCCGGGTGTGGTCCAATGTTTCACCAATTTTACCTAAAAGGAATGTACAGACTAAAAATGTAATGTTATGTTGAAAATGAATTTAAAAAAATTGCTTCAAGAGCATTTAGTATACTGTACTTATCATTTCTACCGTCAAAGATACTTCATTAAAGCCGTAACATGTTTGCCACATATTAGTATTTGCCTTAACAATGGTGAGGTTACAATAACTAAGAAAAAAACCATCAATACCTACGGCTATTGTATTCACTAGACAAATTTACATAAACAGAAGCTGAAATTTAATTATTTTGTGTCCGATACACAATATGTTAGAGCTTGAGATTAAAATAAAGTAATGTTATGCTATGTCCTATTTTGTTATTGCCTAGTAAATACTCAGCTCTTCAGTAACAGTATATTTTGTATAAACTTAAATTACGATCGGCGGATTAATTTAAACATCACGCAGCTTGCATGACTCCTATAAAACCTTATTTATAATGAAAATTACAGTTATTAATTTGTGCAACTTACTGTTGAAAATACGTTTCGAATATATTTTTGTTATGACGATTGTAAGTTTGTTAAATAAATAACATGCAATGTGAGGAATTAACATTTCAAACGCTCTCGGATCCATGCAAGCCACTTCACATTAAACCTCAAATCACAGAAATATTCGACAAATCTAAAATACATACAAAATCGACCAAAACAGATTTTTCCATATTTGCTTACGAGGTGTAAAGCACGCAACTTATTGTCGCAACGCGATATACATTTTAAATACCAATGACTAAACGAAACTACACGAAGTTATCGCTCCTGCAATAATACCTACACACTTTCGAGTGTTTACTATCCTAACTTACGATTTAAATTATATACATTACACGTTCTATACACGCGAACGCTTCTAAATATATTTACAATAAAGTTTTGGATGCTTTGGCTAACAATAGGGCACTCGCTTAAGTCTATCTCATGCGCTAGTCCGTTGCTACATGTCATATTTTGATGAACTATTGCATTTCTATTGCTATTTACTATTGAAATTGTGAAAACACCTCATTCTTATTTAGTCAAGCGCACCTTGATGATGAAAAATTTTATACGACCGCGACCCCATGTCGTGAGTCGTGTCAAGGACGAATTTACTTTTGTTAATTGTTACACTATGACCTGATGTTGTCATTGACTCCAGCCAGTCTCAGACAAGACATACAACTACATATTATAAAACATACTTGTTACAATATGCAATTTAGCAACGGAACCAGAGCTATTTGAGATATACTTTACAGTTCATTCCTATAAAACTACGTTAATAATTTCAAGTTCATTAGGAACCAACGTGGTAGGCTACTGTATTGGAACAAATACACGAATTTGAACCCTATGAAGATTATTACTGGGTTTGTAATGACTCGCTATACTTTGGAGATATATATTATTAAATACCATAGTACTGAGAAGTCATTAAAACCCATACATAGTACTAGAATTGAGTTGAAAACTTTTGCGAAAATATTAGATCTTAACTTGTAATTTTATAAAAGCTACTATTTTAAACAATGTAAAATTGAAGGTCATAAAAGGTTGGACTGTATATCCGAAGATGTTGGCAAGAGATGTCTTAATATAACTATTCCCGCAAAAGTTTCAATTTTAAAACCTGTTATAAAATTGTTTATACACTATTAGCTAGTATTTGTTGATTTGTGATTTCCCTGGACATCTGTAGACTCGTGTGAACACTCATTCATAGGCTGGACTCTTGGGGAGACCGGCCTGAATGTGCACTCTAAGGAGTCTGAGTCTGGCGTGCCTGGCGTGGAGGGTGTGAGTCTGTCTGAGGTACACATACGTTTGGAGAGAGGGGAGTCGGCCTCGTCACACCGTCGCTTGCCGGACAGCATGTTTGGCCGGCTGACGGGACTGAAGCTTGACGCTCGGATAGCAATGGGGGACAAGCTCCGCCGCGTCGTATACTTCCGCGTCGGAGAAGGGGAGACTACTGGTGAAAATCTGGAACGAAAACATTGTAGTGATATTATAATATTTTTCTGTAACATCTTTTATCACATTTTTATTGCTATACTACAGTAAAATATACAGTTGGTATCAAAACAGAACTGTTAACCAGAAAACAAACAATTTTGTTTTACGTAAGAGTCGGCTTAGCAACAATAACAAAACATTATCTAAGCCTGTAAGTGCGGGCAACGATAAACATTTAATTTCAGGTTACGACATCGAGTGACTATCTGGCACTGTCATCGAGAGAAAATGTAAGTGGTAGGTGGAGGTAATAAGTAATAATGTAAGAGGGCTGTCTTACTGCGTAACGTCACGACAAATAATCATTTTCATTTTTCTATCTACAGAATAACAAAATACACTTCTATATTCCTAGCTACATAGGTGCAACACGTAGCAACCACTTTGAAAGTAAAGCTGATTTTATGAATCATTGTTTTTATCACCTAGAAACACTCCTTCGTACTTTAAAAACAACATAAAACAGTTTTATTACTTTGTTTAAAGTTTCACGGATAGTCTGGATCCCTAAAGTGATAAGGAATATGTTTGTCGAAATCGCGCTATTCACACTTTGTGTCGCTAAACCTAGTTAGGACCTCTATTATCAATTATTTTTTTATTTTGACACAGGATAAGGCTGTTGTTTAGTTCAGGTTTCACTGGCTACTCTAAAAAGATAAAATTTAAAGATCACCATCTCTTTTCAGCCCAGAAGTTCAAGTGTCAAGACATATTGCGGAAGGTATGCATGGTTTGTGACATTCTAGTTAGAAAATGAGTTTGATTCAATAGAAGACCGGTCTTTTCCATCTCATTATAACCTACTAGCCGAGCCGCACACTCCAACATACCAAGCAACAGCTCATTAGATGAACGAGGCCACCTATTATACTTAACGATCCTATTTGAGAATAATTACGTAAAGTTATTACTCAGAATAAATTATCTCGTTAAATAAATCGCTTCGTCTGTCAATTGTTTTCTTTGAGATATTCAATGATGAACTCGTGGCAAGCGTAGGAGCTGGCGCTCCGTAGATGTCAAGATGTATTTGGATTTTGTCGCAATCATTATATCCGCCCGCTAAAGGCGAATCGATAGCCGATTTTCAGTTTTATGAGTTTTAGCTCTCTTACAATACAAAGGGGATTGTTTATGTGGCATGGCAGAACATGAGATCTCAAATTCTCAATTTATATTTTCTTCATTTTCATAGAATTGTCTGTATCTGTATGATCTAAGTCAAAGATCTAAATAACTGAGTTTACCATCGCAAATTTGAATTTGAATGAATGAATGAATACGTCTGATCCAACGAAGGCAGCCTACAAAACATATTGAAACACATAGATAAACTAGAAAGTCTACACTAGAAGGCACTATCTAGTTAGTCTATCATCATGGAACACCGACAACTATGTAGGTATGTAAAACAGTCTATACCTAGGTGTCCTAGTGGGTGAGTTGGCTAATCCGGCGACTAGCGTCAGATCCTCACAAGATTGGCCCATCTGCATGGCGGTGTGTATTTCCCTCTCGTGCGCCACCTCGCGCGTGTTGCTCACGTCCGCGCACTCCTCGGCGCGCAGCTGGTTGACTCGCGGCGCCATCCGCGCCCACGAGCTCTGTGCAACAAACAATCACCTGTTATAGAAGACAGATTATTGTACTTTACTACTTTGTAAGTTCATTTGAGAATGTTAACTATATTCAAGTACTCTTAGGGTCAGTTTCGTGAAGAAACTTGCAGATATTTGATATCAATTTAGGTAGATAAGTCCCAAGTTACGATTTTAACTTTCTAGGGATTGTGAAACCGGTCTTTACTCATTCGTTACCAGGTGACATTAATTGTAGGTATTTATTAAAATACTCTACCAATGTAAGGTACATATTACATTGCTATGACTTCCCATGACCACTGCACTGTAATGTAAAGTTTTATAATTCTGCAGTCAAATAGGATTAGAAGTCATAATTATGCTGACAACACAACAAAAGTCACACCCATATGGAACGAGTAACATGACTAGCATGACTGATACGTATCTGCATCTAATAACTGGTTGTTTCTGTGTAAATATCTATATTACAATCGGTTTTTTGCCAACTATTGTTAGCGTAAAATGTTACTATGCAGAATGGCGTCTCAAAAAACGATCACCAGTACAAATATCATGAATATATTTTGAAAAATAACTCACAGTTACGTTGATTGGCGAGGTGACAGTACCAAAGGTCCCGCTATGCCTGCGCGTGCGCGTCAGGTTGTTGTTTGAAAACATGCTGAAGATCGACGTGTTCCTGAAACAATATTATTGAAAAGTTTAGCATTGAAACTAAGTAGCAATTATGCAGTTGTATAGCTTCCTTTGGGCGAGGCACTATTATAAAATAAGCAAATATCATATTTACAGCAGCCTATCCCATTTATTAACTAACACATGATTTATTTATTTCCCTGTTTTCACTTACAAAGTTAATTATATCTACTTTTCATCCTTCACTCGAACATATCATATTTATTTCGTTTCTCCTATCGAATAATTCATCCAAAACTATATCCATTAGCTAGAAACTCAACGAAATACCGGAAGAAATTGCAACTCTTCGGAAGGAAACTTGGAAGTCACTGAGAAATACTGACAATAAAATCAAGAGTAAGTTAAATACTAACAAGACGTATCTAGATAAAGACAACGATAGTATCTATGCTATGTGAATTAATTTAGTGCGTGTTGTTTGTCCACATCGAGTAGCAAAAATACATAAATATCGATGTTTTCAGAATAGAGGGCGACGAACAGAATCGAGGCCACTGCAAAGCGATGCCTACCCGCAAATGGGCGCGGTTTAATATTCAAGTGCTTCAGTTATACCGCAAAATCTTCATATAACAGTTAACAGTTTATATGATGGTAATTTTGTGCAATCTTGCACGCTACCACACTGGAGGCGAATTGGTATCAATTGAGAACGAGTGGCGAAGTGTTGCGGCGGCGAACTCAATTAGATTATAAAGACGGGCATTTGCGAGCTGATGTTTTGAGCATGTCGATGTAGGGAAGACTCGCATGGTCTCTACTAAAAATCTGGTCACAATCAAAATGGTATACAAAAACATCATAAGTAGTTTATTGTCTCTTTTATTTCTCTTAAATTTTGTGTTAAAGTAATGTCCAGAGCGGCACCATTGTCAACAATTTTGTTGTTCTCTCCTTTTACCTCATGTACTCGTAAAAGCTCTATAAAGTTTAAGTACCATTAAATTAATACTTCGCTCTTTTTAAATGGCGTCCTTAATGTGAACTGGCAAGGAAATAAGCCAAAAGTGTTTTGAAATGGCTGGCAAGGCGAGTTCCTGGCAAGCCTTCAGTTTATACGGTCGTAAAATAAATTAGAATTGCACTGGAGGAATTTTTGATCATCAATATTAACTACGGAATTTCCAAGGAATGTTACTGGAATCTCCTCGGCGACAAATTAATATCGACCACAACACTTTTCCTCACAAACGAAAATAAAACTGATTACCAAACAACTTCAGTACTTGGCCGCGTTTTTACGGCTTGAATTCCAGTAATAGAAACATGAAATAACAGAGATTATTTTGATTAACTCGAATGAAACGTCATCGATGTTTTTCCTGCGCGAAATTGACAAAATCAATTCAAAACAGCCATGTTTACGCTCCACAAAAGTTTTGAAACGGCTAGTGGAAACTAGAAATGAATAAACAGAGTAACACAAATTTACTGCTTATAAAACAGTAATATAGTGATACCATAACATTATACACGAAACGAGGACTGTCGCCGTCGTGAGACAATAATAACATGGACACTGTTGCGTGATTCAATAACAATTAGTCAGTGTTTATAATACTATTTCATTTCAGTAACATTATTGCAGAGTTCGTTATCTCGTCTTTGTATCAAAGCCTGGAAAGTAAAGCCCTTTCCAAATGTGATGAGTATTTTATTAGTATCGAATGAATAGTTTTTTTTAAGGAGGTAAAATCATCGAATGACTTCTCCCGCCTGGATAAGGCGGGAGGGAGTGGCAGACTCTTAACGACTAAAAACCACCCCGCTCCTACTCCTGCACTTCGAGCCGGAGCCGGTAACCCGTTAGGTTCTTCGCGACAATGAATGAATAGAATAGAAGTAAGGCTGACTGTTAGAGAATGCTACTAGCCATTAACTCGTCGAGTACCGGTTTTGTAGACACAATTATAGAACAATAGGTTGCGGTCACCGGTGACCGCTTGGTGTTTGACAGTTTAAGTCCGTCATTGTATACCCATAGTGTAAAATAAATTAAAATAAATAGAATATTATGGAAAATAGGGTTTGATTCCCATAATGATCTCCATATACAACGATAAAAATGACGACGAGCATACGCCGCGATTGAAATAGGTGACCTAAACACTTGTGTCTCATGCTCATTCAAAAGCCATTATTCGTAGTCAATCAAAGGCGTGTTCTATAAATCTTCTGATATCATAGAAGTCCATTGATATTTGAACTCATAACTCGCCCTTTAGCAACTGTAGGCGAGGCATTTTATTGAATTGTAAATGCAATGAATGTCAATGGAAATAATATCATGTCCGCGGAACATGAATAGCAGGGTCCTGCGTTATGTGATACGCGTCTTTTCAGAATCGCGAGTGCACTATAAAACTACGATCCGATTACCGTACACGTGGCTGATACGTGCATTATTTGGCTTAATACAGCTTACACGATAATATATTCATTTTATTATGCAATGAAAGGTCACTGGCTTGCATGCCCGATCCACTTTAGAAGTGACGAGTCGTACGTGCCAATGCACCTACAAATCATATTATGCGCAAAACTGCAATTGGCTATTGGTCATCTCAATTGAAATTGAGGGTGAACTTCATATTGGAATACAAAGCTAAATTCACGACCAGAATTGGTTAATATCCTTGTGTAACAGTTCTAGACCAGTACTGAAATCCATTTAGTTAGAATCCTTAGATATTATTATAATAATAACTAAAGTGTCTATGTTACTAAGAACTAATCTTGGAGTAGTTATAATCTGATATACTAGTTCAAACATTTTTAAGTTTTCATTTCAACTAATAGGCTACTAAATAGCACATTAACATATCAAAATAATGCAATTTATATCATGAGCCTTCTTGGCAAAAACCCAAGACAAAGCTACATCCGTTTTAATTTGATATACAAGTGTCTTTCCTTTAAATATTCTTATTGCAATGGCAATAAGAATATTTAAAGGTTAATTACAAAGTACAGGTGATAGGCCAACATTGAGCTGTTATTTATGAGCTATTTACAGACTTTAATACAGTCATTTATCTTAATATAATATAAGGATGAATAAACACATATTCATGGAAAGTTTTTCTTAACCTTTTGTGTTCCTAAAACATGGATCCACATGGGACACAATGTATTGTGTACTGTGTCTCATTGGTGCATTCTTCACACTTGATTAGAAATCACATCACACCATGGTTTTACAATGACAAAGCACCAATCATTCTCACTCAATAATTCAAACTCAGAGTTAAAAACAACACAACACGAGTATTTACAATAACAATTTATCATAAAGTTTTATATTTATCAAAAATTATTCTGATAACATCATAGCAAGATAGACATTCATAGAATAAATGATGATTTTACATTATGACTGGTAATAATGATCAAAATTTGCCATTATACAATACATACCTATACTATGCTGTATTATATACTGTATTTTGTCAAAATTGGTGAAGCAGCTTTTGTTTTGAAAAGAAAATAAAAGTAAAAATGCACACTGACTTAATATGTACTACTAAAAAAATACATATTTGAAAAAACTTCTTATTGTGACTGCTATTTCTAAATGTGTAAAACTTCTGATGGTCAGGTATTTACTAGAAAGAAATTATAAATTGAATGTCTAGTCAGGTATTTATTAAATTACCTCATCAAATGAGTTAATTACATTACAGACATTAATCAATAAAAACCTGTACCTATCTCAGCAAGAAAGACACTGCATGTAGGTGTTGATGACTTAAAATGCATTTTAATTAATATCATAAATGGGCATTGGAATGAGTAACTTCATAATATTGTGAATCATTTATTTTTAGTTTCTTTACTAATGTGGCCACATTCTAAGAGGTATTTTATGCACATTAGGTACATTATAATGTCACTTTACATATTATTCCAGAACCACAACTCACCAATTCGAAACTAAGAACAGCTTTTTAAGACTCTATCACAAAATTAACTAATTAATAAAGCATGACAACAGCAACATAAAGATTCACTAATTACCAAAAGCAATATAAGAAAATGTATGTAAAAATTAATGTAACACAAAATATTGAACACAGAGTCAAGTCAATAGCTCAGCACTAACTGCAGTACTTACACATTGTCAACATACCGCAACTCAACACTGAAAAATGACGCCAAGCTACTGCACTTTTACCATAACAATATACAATCAACTAGTAATGATAACATTAACAGTATACACTGTGAATAATGCACAAACATCGCTAAATACGGGCACAGCACCCACTGGCGACCTCAGCAGCTGTCAAAAATAGGTAAGCAGCGTAGCAACAACCATATCGGAGCCGTAGGAGGCGTGTTCTGCACATATTACTTTACCTGGGCGCTACGCTCGTCGTGGGCGATGTGGCGGCCGTAGTGGCTGCCTCATTTATTAACGGTGCACTACTGCACCTTTTTAATATGTTAGGAGCATCCACATCCATTATCTTAATGCCACCATTCGTTCACTGACGTACTATGTAGTTATATGCATCGGGATTGCCGAAACGATTAGCCCTCTACCGTTTATGTAACACTGTAAGTGCACTTACAAATAGTCTAATTAACTAATCACGCTACTGTTACAACTACATACATGTTATTTATTACGCGTAAATGAAAGGATAACACAAAATAAAATGAAAATACGCTACTCAGAAAGCTAAAAAGTGGCTCGAAGCTGACCTGTCAAATCGCCGCAATAGAGATGCATTCATGTTTTATTTTTCACAATGAAACCGTCAAAATTCTTAGTTATTCTATTTCAAATCTGAAAGAAAAATGAATAAATATATTTATTTTACAGAAAATATTCAAAAGATTATGTTTACTTAATTCAATATTTTTAATAAAGCAATAAACGAAAATTCTTACAAATAATTTCATGATTTTTAGTTAATAAATGAATGCAACCAAAGTAATGTCAACAATCATGAAATAGGTACGTTCCGTTCCAAAAACCATAAAACTCTGTCTTCAGTAAAACATGAAAAATCTAAGGTTTTCTGTTACGTGTTAGGGTATATTCAATTGCTAACTGTATATAGGTAGTATTTTACGTCAGATATTGAATAATACGATTTAAATTATGTAGGAAAATAAGTTCTATTTTTGGTTCCTAGATGGTATTTTGCATTTGCGTAAAACGAAAAGTTCGTGAATTGTTTTGACTACTTTTGACTTTTAGACTTTTAGGTTGCAAATAGTTTCGATGTATTTTGGATTTGTGATGATAAAAAAATATTAATAGAGATGTTACACTACACTTTTTAATATTCCCATTATTGAATGAGTATATCGTATCGTTTAGCACCATATAATACCTACTGCAATGTGTGTCAAATATTAGTAATCTAATTTATTTCTACTCGAATTCGAAACTGATAATAAATGTCGGGTTAAAAATTAAATAAATAATGCTAATCGCAGGCGGGAATGACGTATCTATTTGACTAGTCCGTGTTAACCTAATATTCTAAACCTTTATAGAAAATACAAATATCAAAAGTCGATTATAATACCTATTACGAATTCATAGTAACTAGATGTAAACACAATACATACGACTCTATCACAAAATCAAAAAGTGAAGTAAATAATTATTTTGAATTCAAAATATGTATTTAAGGCGAAGGTAAGGGATGTTTTGTGAATGTGAAATAAAGCAGCGAAAATAATCTAGAAACTCCATTCACAGTTACACATGAAGAGACATTAAACTTTGTTTTTTATTTTAGTACGACAGTGAAATACGTGATAGCGTCCTTTATTGGGGCTGTTATCTACTGTGAATGGTTTATCTACATCATACAGCAACAGTACTGGACAGAATTGGAATGCAATGACCATGACGCAACTTGTAAGAAAATTTTGTTCATAGCTGATCCTCAAATTCAAGGAGATGAAGCCGTCCCACCTCCTTTAAGCTACCTCTTTAATTGGGACAGTGATCGGTAAGTTTACAATGACTTGGTTTTCCCAATTCTTATTGTGTTAACAAGTTGCAGAAGTGATTTTATCAACATGTCTTTTGGATTTATCTAAGATAAAATTATGAAATATTACATGCTTATCTTTTAAATGGTCTGACTTTTCACTTAAAGATTTTCTTCTTACATATTTTATTCAATTTTTGTAGCTTCTTTTTCTATTAAAAAGCTAGTTACTCCCGTGCGATTTTACTCACTGTTGAGCTCCTATTGGTTAAAGCGTTATGTTCTATAGCCTATAGCCTTTCTCGGTAAATGGACTATGGATAGTCCATTTACCGAGAAAGGCTATAGGACACAAAAAGAATTTAAAAATTCAAACAGAGATTAGCACTATCAAACAAATCTATATAAAAACACAGAAATATTAAAAAAGTATAAAAACAACCTCTTCAGTTTTATACAGAAATATAAAAAGTAATTCAAAGGCTAATCTTGAGAACAGTTATGTTTGGAATATGGGGTTCCTTAGCTTAGTCAAATCGGTCAGGAATTATACATACTACCACCTCTTAACTCGTTGAGTGCCGTCATTGTAGACACAATTAAAGAACAATAGGTTGGGGTCACCGGTGTCCGCTCGGTGTTTGACAGTTTAAAGGATTTAGGTTGACTTTACCTAGCCTAGCTTTACTGACAGACAGATGGATGGACAGACATTTCAAAAGTCCTAATTAAAGATTAATTGAAATAAATGCTTTGACTTTGATATTAGTATACATTTAGTTTTAATCTGTCTACTTCCAGTTACCTGAGGTCAACATTCAAAGTGGTAGTGGAGTACTTAAAGCCGGATATCCTGGTGTACCTAGGTGACCTGATGGATGAAGGCTCCATTGCTACCATGCCGCAGTTCCATGGCTACGTCAAGAGACTGGCTAGTATATTTGAATGGGACTACCCTGCCGTGGTAAATTAGTACTGATTTTTTTAACCTCTTACAAAATCTATTCCTACGTAATAATTTCATACTGCAATATTTTGATAGATATAGAAAATGGTATTTGCGGTTAGAGGGGTATTAATGTATGTAACTACTTAAAACTACAATAATTTATTTAACTTTGAGTTTAAGGCATCTCGTTGCCGCGGACAACTTAATTGGTTATCGGGGCTCCAGCTCGAAGTGCAGGAGTAGGAATGGGGTGGTTTTTAGTCAGTAAGAGTCTAACACTCTCTCCCACCTCACCCAAGCGGTAGAAGGCATTCGATGGTTTTCCCACCTTAAATAAAAAATGGCATCTCGTTGATCTTCTGTTTGGAACCATAGATTCGCAGAGGGCCATTATACAGTTGAATCCCATTGTCCCAATGGGTTCAACTACAAAGACTAATTACCTACACAGTTGATTAAGTAACCAAAAATAGTTAACTCAATGAAAATTTAATTCCTCATGCATTAGTAAACGAATAACTTAAAATTTCAGCAAGTCTGGATACCAGGTGACAACGACATAGGCGGAGAGAATGAACCAATCCGTTACGATAAAATAGAGGAATTTGAGGAAGTGTTCAAACAGCCGTCCATTGTAGTATATTCCAATATCTCATTTTACAAAGTAAATGCCATTACTTATACATTCCCACAAAAGGCTGATGAGATCCCTGGCTCAGAGATGAATTTCAAGATCGCTGTGTCTCACTATCCAGTTACTGAGAAATCTATGTTTGCATACCAGGTAACTACTAAACATACTTCTAACTGAAAAGTGTCTCTTATTTTATAACTGATACTAAACTTAGCTGTTACTGCGACTATTTTTAAAGCTCCAATATCACTTTACTATTGTGCTTGATGAACCAGCAATTAAATAGTTATCTACATGGTCAGCAACACATTTTTAGTACCTGTGTGTTGCAAGGTGTCCACTTACCATCAGGCGAACCTTAAACTTTGTTGCGAACAATATAGGTACAAAAATACACACTATTTTAGACTATTTTAACTAATAAAATGGCTCTTAAACATCATACCAAAAATAATAAAATTCTCTTTCAGATAATGAAAGCTATAAACCCTAACATATTTTTCTGCGCTCACGACCATGATTCGAAGTATGTAAAGCAGAATAAGAACCTTGGTCACAGGAAGACGGTTTGGTTAAATAGACCGAATCCAACCCTCAATATATCCTTCGATGAGGAGTCTCTATATGAGGTGTTCGTGCCAACCTGCTCATATAGAATGGGCACCAACTCCATTGGGTATGGTGCTGCCGTTCTAGGTAAAGTCTACTTACTCTTATAATTCCTTCGGTCCTTCCAGAATAAATAGCAGAGTTGGGACACTCTGCTATTTATTTTTTGCTTGAGAATTATCGAAAAAGTCGTTAATACTTTACCTGAATCAAAAATCAAATGTACCTACATTCAAGCGAGGGAGAGTAATACTACCACGACCTAACAAAAAACGACGTGAAACAACACTTGCGTTGTGTTTCGTCGTGTGAGTGGGGTTACCGAGGCCCAATTACCCTCCTCCACTAATTTCCAAAAGGCCGGTATCGCACTTGTAACACCTCTGGTGTTTCGGGTGTCCATGGGCGGCGCCGATTGCTTACCATCAGGTGATCCGTCTGCTCGTACCGGCTTATTCCAATCCGAATAATAAATAGATATTTCTTTTTCTTTCAGAAAACAACCAACAAAACATGAGATATACTGTATTTTGGTCGCCAACGAGGTTTCCCTGCTTAATTCTCTATTTATCTATGCTGGTAATACTGCTTATGTACTGCCTAGTGTTCTGTGTTGCCAGACTTTGTCACAGAAAGTCCACATTGGTAGCTAAAAGTGCCGATATGTCTCCATTGCTACAACGAATTTAGCAGACTTTAGCACTTATCCCAGTGTTAATAAGTGCCAATTTGTAATGTATACTCAATTACTCAGTCGTAACATAAGTTGGCTGATATAAATTCAGTCGGACACTTAAATCTACTGTTTATAAGTAGATACTAGATTTCATTGGCAAGGTAAGTCCAAATAATTAGTTATTGTATATAACTATGCTTAATATTAGCCTAAATTGATTGTATATGCAGCAATTTGTCAAAACATAATCTTATTTAGGTACCTAAGTATCTATTGAATTGAAATGGGAAACTATAAGTCCGTTATGAAACCAGTGAATTGATTGATAAATTGACTATGGAATTGAAAAAAAACATGACCTATAATAACAACCCCAGTTTAGCATTTACCAGTACCTACCTACCTAAATAAAATTGGGAAAAATGCCTTTAGTTAGATTTTTATTTACTTTATGACCTATTTTTAGAGAACCTACTTAAACTCAGTACAATGATTTGTATTTATTTTATTTTTCGAAATAATATTTTAATTGATTTTTTAAAGACGTTGTGTTCTTGTCGCTGTGAGATGAAACCTTCGTGCTCCCTTTATGAAATGTTTTATTTTTATTAATAGTTATACAAAATTATATTGTGTGTTAATTTAGTTATAATTATTTTTACCTAAGTCTTTTAATAATTCTCCAATGGACTTTATATGTGCATTTACGTATTATGATAATTATTTAGAAATTCTCGGCCCAAATTGAATTGGCTGTGCTTTTACTAATTATGAAACGTAACCCCGTCGATGTCAGAATTGAAATTAAATAATGGCATTTATTTAAAAAATATGTATTGTGCTAAATAATGATAAAATTATTACTAGTAAAGATAGGTATCTATAATGTCGGAATACTAAAACGCTACTCAATTTTAAGTTGTGCTTATGTATAGTTCTATCTCTACAAATTCTTTGTAAAATGACAGAGATGGCACGATATTTGAGCACGACTTAAAATTGAGTAACGTTTCAGTATTCCGGCATAAGGGCCGATTTTTCCAACGCCAGATAAATTTTAACAGAGGATAATAATATGTATAACTAACTTTAAATATTTGACAATTCTTCCACACTGTCAAATGTCAATTTTATTCTACAGTTCTTATCGTCTGTTGATTGATAAATCAGCCCTTGTAATGAGAATATTAGCTTAGTATTATATTGATAAATAAAAGAACTAGCGTTTGGGTGCCAAGAAAAGAACCCCAATTATAAATATACGATAGTTTGAATTCAGTCTGTATTATAATAACTTATAACGAGTTTATCTCTAACTTGAGTACTAAAAAAATTTTTGTTCTCACTTATTCTACCATAAAAATAATAAAGCAGTATAGAACAATGACTAATATTAGATAATTACAATGATCCAACATTGTTGCGATTTTCCATTTGGTACCGAAGAAATTCAGAAGAGGCCTTTGCCAAAAAAATAAGATATGTGTATTAGAAAAAGGCAAAGAATTACTTTGTCGCTTGAGTTTGGGGAACGCTGAACTACGGAATTGATTTGAACAAAATTGTATCAGTACTTATTATTATTTACAAAATATATTTTAATTTTAAAGCTATAAATTACTGACAGAGTACAATAACATAGTATTAAATTGACATTTTTATTTAACTCGTTAATTTATGTTACCAGGCTAACTGCATTTGGTTTATTTTGAAAACGGACCATTTTCAATACTTCTTTTAATTTTTATTTATTTATTTATAAATTTATTGGGGTGTTTATCCATTAAGGATATGCCAACCCTATCGTACCTTTCTAAAGTGAACACATAACTTAAATTACAATTTAATATATCTATGTGGGTACTTTAATTACATATTCAGTACTAAATGTTTGCTAAAGTCCTACAAATCTTATTATTTTATACAAACCTACAAATATTATACAATAATTTGAATTAAGTTTGTTAACAGGCAACACCAAATATATTACATAATAATGCCAATATCATCCGAATATTGCTATAAAGTTTACAATAAATGAATTTAAAATCTTCTATCTGCAGATAGCCTTTTGAAGTAATCTTGTAACAGTAAAACAGGGATTTTACATGACAAGTATAAGTTAATATTAATGAAAATATACACATATATAATGCTCCTTAATATAAATGTACAAATATGTACGTACATGCTCATTCAAAACGTGTATTTAATTCAAATTGCGGGTATTCAGATTTTTATACGATAAAAATCTTTAAAAAATCATTTAGATAGGTTGTGTGGGTAACACTAGAATAACAGCTTACTAATTTACTTTTTAATAATCACTATATATCCAGTTACTTACTAAGTTCAATTAGGAACACTATGTATAAACAAGTTAGCCAGTTAGCTAGTTCATTTAAATATCTATTTAATTGTTTTATATGAAAACAATATTTGAAATACCACTGCCTGATAAACTGAAGTAAAAATATTTCAGTATTGTCAAAGGACCTATACATAAGCGCCAAATAATTAAGGGTCAATTTGTATTAGCACACACATTACCTATGTATTTCAGAGATTTAAAAAGACGTATGGTTGTTTGTAAGATGAGGCCTTATTACGTTTAAAGTATTCGTAACGAGTACGCGTTCGGCACTCTGATTGGCCGGCGCCAATGAACCAACCAATCAAACGTAAAAGAAACTCGTACTAAGGCCTCTGATGTGTGTTTTACACTGTGTGATAAGGTGGAATTTGCTATGTAAATATTAGATTCATGCTTCGATTCACTAGTATAAATTGTCCCGAAGCTAACTGCCATCTGTGATGACAATAAGTGAAAATAATACCATGTTGTGGCGCTTGCTAAATCAAAATGAAAGACTGTAGTAGCAACGTTTAATTGTATATTTATTTTATATAAAAAATATAACAACTTTGAACATATGGAATGTGAATAAATAAATTATAATATTTTTTTCTGGACATAGGGTTTCAATGAACCAACCGATACAATAACGCGATCACGTTTTAAGCCCTCTGAGGCCTTAGTACGAGTTTGTCTTAGTTAAGATAAGACAAAGCTGTCAAGTAAATGCTGTACCTTGTTTGTTTTGTACCTATTTGTTCTTTCATCGGTTGTGAAGTTATTCGAGATTTTGCTGGGGTAACGTTTTTGATTTTGCTTGATCTTTGAAATGGTTAAGCACATGCTTATCATATTTTGTACATGGCTTCTTAGGAATTAGTTTAAATTTGTTGTGCAATAAAAAAACCAAAATAATACATAGGTAGCTTAAAGGTTATTTCATTAAATAGAAAAATACTTCAATTGGTCCCAGCACTCTCAATAAGAGCTCTAAAGACTTCAACAAAGTAAAATAAACTTAAATATATTACTAAAAGCTAGCAATTATTTAAATATTCCCATTAGAAAGAAAATGGTCTGGCTGGGGTAACGTTACCCCAGCAGAAAATGTTTTTGTGAAATAATTAAAAAACTAATAGCACAACAAATTTAAAAATGGGCGCAACAATTACAAAAGTACCACAACTAATTATCTATACCTAAGATTCAAATGACCATTTTCGACAACATGTGGCCTGGGTAACGCACACTTCATTGAAGCCCGCCAATCACAGCGCCGAACGCGTATTCGATTCGATTACTATAAACGTAAAAAAAATCGTACTAAGACCTCTGACAGCCAGTGATATGCGCACCATAATATTTGTATCTACGTAATAAGTCTTTACTTATGACAAATATTACTAACACAAACATTTATAAAACATTACAATTTGGTCAATTACAAGCGTTCCATACTCTCTGCCTACCCCCATGGGGGGCAGGCGTGAAGCTATCTATGTATGTACAATTTGGTCATTGATGCAATGCATTTATATCATACAAATTTATAAGTATATTTAGAATATTTACATAGGTATTATATAGCTATGTATAATAAAATTTTGCTATTCAATGAAAAACTATTTGACTAGCACCACTAGAATGTTTTTTTGTTATTATTTACATGTAAAACTGTAGGTATGCTATGTTTGTCTGTACCTTACTAAATGTAATTAAAATTGCAATAATATATTTATAGAGATTATATGAAAATGTCTTTTGTTAAATGGCTTCTCATTAGTCCTCCTAACATAGTTTGCATGGCAAACTAAGACAATATGGTAGTTGCCAGGGTAAGAAAATTAAAAATGTAATTACCCTGTCTGTTGGAAAATATAAACATATTATTATATTAGACACATATTTTTTATTTCCTTGTATAAAGTTACAATACTAAGATAAAATGGTCACACGATATTTCATTTTTTCATATAACGTCGAAAAAAGTTTTTAATTTTGTGAGAAAAGAGAAAATACGTGTCTAATGTTTTAAATTAATCTACCAGACGGACATTAAAATAAGATTTAGGAAACCACTCTATTGTTTTAAATCAAACCAAGTTGTAAAATTAGTGCTCTGTAGTACCCTACTTATTATAAATGCGAAAGATTGTTACGCCTTCACTTCAAAACGACTGAAGGGATCTTGGAACAGAGGTAGATTAAACTGTCAAACACCAAGCGGTCACCGGTGACCGCAACCTATTGTTCTATAATTGTGTCTACAAAACCGGTACTCGACGAGTTAACACATGCACACTTTTTACCAATGAGAACGCGTTTGCCGCTGGCAGAACCGCAGAAGCTAATCTAATTATATTTTTAAACCCAATGCTTTTAGATAAACTACAACAGTTGAAGATACTATCATATGAATATTTAAAATCATAAAAGTAACATAACTAGGCACTAACAAAGTTCTCATTGACAAGTTCACGGCTCCTGTTAACAGGTTGGCTATCAGAAAATATGATAATCCATTAGTATTTATGGGAGATAAAATTACAGGCACTTTGAAACCATTTTCTTTGCTCTCAACTAATACAGTAATAAAATATAAAAACGCAGACATAGTTATCAAAAGAGTATCTATGTAAATGGAATAACCAGCGTTTGCTAAAGTCCTTGACGCTGGTCGAATCATATGTATAAAACATGTTAAAAACCACATTAATACTGTTCCTAATACTAACTTTATTTGTGTGTTTAATTTTGTAACATTTTTGTCTAGTAATATATTTTTTATACAAACACCGAATAAATAGATGGAAACATATCCTAAACAGGAGGAAATTCCTTCTCGATTTGCTGATATAAGAGAATTTCTAGGAGTGTCGCCAAACACCCAGTCCTGTAGACCAATGTACAGTGCAAGTTCATGAACAACTAATGATAGAATACAAAGTAACACTGCATTGTTAGAAAAATATAATACAATAGTTGAAAGAACTTTACAAACAGCTATTGTGAAGAAAAAGTTCCAATGCACACCATACTCGGTGACATGTTCTTGATAATTCAGTTGTTTAACAGACACATACCTGCCTACACCCAGTATTACTAATATAGATATTATTTTCAAATTCCCCTTCACAATTTCTACAAGTTTTTGAGACCGTAAGTCTTTATGTACAACTCCACTCATAATAACAAATAAGCCTACTCCAGTATCCATTAAACTGAACCCAAATCTTTCTGTTTTGGCTAAATATCTAGGGAAATCTTGGAAGTCAACGGCTAATATACACAATCCCGTAATAAGGTATGTTAGTCCCCTGAGACAAGATATCAAAGCTACTCTATTGTTTGGAAATACATTTTTTTGCATGAATTTTTTTACTACATTTTGGTGATACAACAAGAGATTGCTTAATAATATAGTAAAGATTATAAGGTTTAATACGTATATATATTCCGCTAGTAAGGTGTGTGCTATGATCATGGGTAGTACCATGACCATATATTCATAGGCGAATTGACAGCATCGCGGAAATCTTGATTTGATGGCTAAATAGGCGGCGCATTGCACAGTGAAGAATATACAGGCACAGGTGTGGACTGCCGTTGAACCATGGTTATTCTGCATGAAGGACTCATGATATTTCTTGTATTCTGAAGTATTCATTGTACTTTACACTGAGAACTCAACTGATAAGCTTATCTTTCTACAATTAGTTCAGACTTATTACTGCAAGTTCAACTATATACTTGTAAATATTTCACTGATTATTTTAACGTAAAAAATTCTCGTTTATTCATTTATATGTACTATATATTAATTACATTTTGTGCATTTAAACACTTTTTTCAACGATATATGAAAAAAGCACCACAAGCACATTATCAAAACAGTTGTTTGACGTATGTCACTGTCACTAATGCCATTGTCAATTATTTGACAATAACATTGACAGTTATTCTAGCGAGAATTTGTGCACAAGGTCTTTTTAGCAAAAGAATATTTTTATAATCAAAAATCTGTTTTGTAAATTGGTTTTGGTCGATTTGGTAACCACATAACATAACAACACGCCTTTTACCCCCGAAGGGGTAGGCAGAGGTGCATAATGTAACTGCACTTAATGCCACTGTACAATGTAACACCCCTTTTCACTATATGTTATGAGACCCATATAATAGGGCCATATTGCCATATATCGGGCACAATTCCAGATTCGTGCTACTACTGAATTTAAACCCGTTACCCGACCTGGGAATCGAACCCGAGAACTTTTACCCGGCAGTCGCACTTGCGACCAGTTGGTCAACGAGGCAGTCTTTTCATATTCTTAACTTACTAAATTTGGTAAAATATGAAGTACAAAAAGCGACAAATAAACGCAATCTTGACCCAAACAAGTAGAAAATTGAGGAACTATCCAAGTAAAACCTCAGCATAATCCTCAAAGCTGTTTGATATTGACAGCATGCTGACAGCAAAATAACAAAATTGTCACATTATTACCAACAATGGTTACCAATATCAGAAAAAAGCTTATTACAATGCCTTAAATTCATCAAGATGTTTCAGCAACCTTCAATTTAAGCAAATACCAGACCCATAAATGCCGGAACCAGTTTCGTACGCAACTTAGGCGCCAAAGGTTTCATCATGCAGGAAGCTCTTTAGCCAAGAATCATAAAGATATTAATCTTTATGAAAAGTGCAGAGGTTTAGTGGCTCAAACTGCGCTACTGCTTTTTGGAGCTATCTGTACCTATACACTCGTTGGTTTTTCAGTATTCTGAAGCTCTTTAATCAATGGTTATCTGATCTAAATTTATGACAATCCGTGTGTAAAGTTCTAACAGTCCTTGATGTACGTACTACCGTAGTTAGAGGTACCTACTAATGATTATTTCATTATCAGAAGTATATTATTTTCAGTTAATAATTTTTTAGACGCCTTCAGAGAAAAAGTGAAACGATTGCCTTCCTATTAACAATTTGAGATTATTTTTAATTAAAATCAAAATGTTATTTGTAACCATGTCTCGGATCGTTATGCGGATTGCCGACTATCGTAAGTCTATTATATTAATTACGTATTTACCTATATGTGTAAGTAAGTAACAAGTTACCAATGTTCTCGTATCATACTATAGAGAACGTGTTAACTCAGCACCCAAAATTAAAGGCCCTTTTCCTTTTGTGGTTCTCGAAAATATATTAGGTACCTTTGTAAGTATTGTGCAGGTATTGAGTGAGTTCTTGGTCGTCACGAGTGCCTGACTTTTTGCAGTGACCTCGTCGGATGAAAAGAAAATCCCCATAAAAACTAGTCGCTTCTTAGATTTCAATGATAGCAAGAAAGAATAAATTGCAAGCCATTAATTACCTAAACTAGAAAAAAAAAAGAAAATTGTGATAGCATAAAGACTTCCGAACAAATGAGACAAACATCGATGGTGTACAAATCAATAAAATGATGATGAATATGATAAAAAGACTGAGGCTTATAGAGTAACTCTAAATAAATTATAATATAACACACCTTACTTGAATATAAAGAATTGAAACAAAAGTATACCCATGTGCTATATCAGGTAGTACGGCCTCTAAGTAGATACTATACTAGACGTAATAAAAAATTCAAGAAGTTGAAGTTTAATTAAAAACTTCTGCTGATCTACCTTTCTGGATGAAGCACACGCATCCGGCCACATCGGCCGACCCAAAGGCAATGTACCATGGAATGCATTCTGGTACGTACCTTTTTGTTTTTATATGTTTTAACACTTTTTACGATTTATTTTTACATAAATAAAGTCTCCCAATTGGATTCATCCATGGTCCATAGTACCCAGTCTGTGTAACTAGATTAGCTCACTACGCAAAAGATATTAGATATAGATAACTGTGCGCGCATTAAAGGGATAGTGCTTTTAGCTGCACTCTATCTATCCCTCACTCTTTTTATCCGATAGGACGGCAGTCTGATACGACTGGGCGGAGATTATAACACTGTCGCATTTCGTGACCTGATAATAATTGTCATTTTAAACAGAAAAACCCATTAGCACTTTTTGTCCGGTGCGGGAGTCGAAGTGTATTCTCAGTCAGTTCTCAGACACTCAGACATTGCGCCAGTTTTTTTTTACGTTTTTACGTTTAAAAAAATGGCCGACGTTTGACCACTGTCTCGCCTTGTGGTAAGCGATTATGCAACCTTACGCCTGTGTTCGAGGCTTTGAAGCTAGGCCTACACAAGCGCATCATCGTTGATGAACCTCTTGGCACGCCTCTCGATGTTGCTTCTCGATGCTCTAACGCGTCCAGTTAATAGTTAACCGAACCGTCCCAAAGATGAGAACATAATGGTGCCTTACACTCTGTAATGTCCAGTAAAATAATATGCAGCAAAAAAATGATGGAAAAGGAATGTGACACTGGTGGAGATATGTAGGGTGGATGAAAGTAGAGTAACAAAAGAAGTATACAGAGCGAATATGAATGGGAATGGGGCCGTCGGTAGCGGGCGCCCTAGACGAACATATACTGACCAGATTGACGATATATTAAAGAAGAGCCAAATAAAAGTACTTACCCTTAACCGACGAGCATGCGTGAAAAGATTGATGGCTGTTGATGAAGCGAAAGAGGTATGTAGGAATCGTAGCAATTGGCGTTCCATAGTCTTTGGCTACCATAGAAGACATGCCTAAAGTTACGTACCTATGTATTTATGTATGTATGTTGCTTTGCCATCTTAATTTAATTAGAACTTTTTACAGGACACACAGAAAAGAAGAAAGGAGATTCAAATGAACGTGTAATCAATAATTATAATTTTGAAGACATATGTGCTGAACATAGAACTCACGGAATGTATAGGGGATCTGAATGGCCTACGTGTGATCATGACATACCAAACACAACCTGTGGTCATCATATGAATAATGATATGAACATTGGCATTACTAATGTATCAAACTATAACACAGATAGTACTTGTAATTGTTGTCCAACAAGTTCAAACACTCCAAACCAAAATGCCCAAAAACGACATCCTCCTTGCCAGCAAACCCTGTTGGAACAGGCTATGGAATACCTATATTCACTGGTTTTTAACCACAGAAGCCATTGTGAACGTTGTAACCCAAACCTAGTATGTCCACGTTGTAAACAGCTGCATTCAAATAATCAACCGCCTTGTTCGACCGAGCCGTCGCCATGTCCAGATGATAAGCCTCAAAATAATAAATCGTCATGGCTAAGTTCCAAATTTAAAAAGCCGCCACCCGCTGCTTCATCAGCATATTCGAATACTACACCGACATGTCCCAATGCTACTCCGAAATGTCCCAATATTAAACCGAAATGTCCTAATGCTACACCGAAATGTCCAAATATTAAATCGACATGTCCCAATGATACTCCAAAATGTCCCAATGCTACTCCGAAATGTCCAAATATTAAACCGAAATGTCCCAATGCTACTCCAAAATGTCCCAACGCTACACCATCATGTCCTAATGCTGAGCAACCTTCTGAGAATGATGAACAGCCATGTTGCATACCTGAGCCGCCATGTCCAGATCCCAAACCGCCATGTCAGAAATGCCCAGCTGCAAAAGCAAACAATAACCATGAGGATTGCTGTAAAGAGTCTCTGTTCGAATTGGCAAAAACATATCTTCAAAATATTATGTATTCCCACAAGAACGCATGTCCACATTGCACGCAACAACTAGCATGTTGTTATGCAAAGGAGTTGCTCAAATATTTGCGAGAAATTATTGAACAAGCTTGGATTTACACTAAACAGTATTACGAACAGGTTTGTCAAGAAGAGCTTGAGGCTGAGAAAGATAATAAACCGTGCACTTGTGCTGCGCCAAAAGGAAATGGAAATAACCTACCATGTCCACCACCACCACGCCCGCCACCACCATGCCCGCCACCGTCATGCCCGCCACCGCCATGCCCGCCACCACCACGCCCGCCACCACCATGCCCGCCACCACCATGCCCGCCTGTACGTTGTCCTGTATGCTTTCCAGAACCCGAAGAAAATGACGATGACCGTTTCACTCCTTGTTGTTTACATAATTCTGAAGGTGTACAGCAGCCTCATCATACATCTGAATCTCATAATAAATCGTGTTGCTTATCTCGGGATTTCCAGTCACTTTCTGAACCTTATGATGCCGACATAGAACCTGAGATAAGCGAATGTTCTTTAGACAGAGAATCTTCTGGGAATCTGCATGATCGCAACGTTATGGGATTGCTATCATCAAACAATGGCGGACCTTGTAAGACTTGTTGTAAGAATTGTACAGACGAACCAGATAATTGTGATGGAAACGAAAACGGAAACGGAACAAACGGAACAGGTAACGAAAACGAAAACGGAAACGCATGCGGAAAACGTAAATTAGGTTTGAGTTTGAGTATGGAACCTAATGACCATAGATTCTGCACAAACCCTAATGAATGTAAGCATTCAAAGGAATCACTTAACAACTGTGAAGACGAGTCACCACCACCGCCGCCACAAGCTGCTTGCGGACGGGGGAAGCGACCTGGTTGTCCTACTAATGAACAAGCGGAACAGGCTGATATGCCATGTACTGGAGGTTGCAAAAAGTGTAATACACCAAATGCCAAATCAAAGAAACGCGAACGACGCATGCCAGACGATGAATATAAAAAATTTTTAGACGACCAATTGCGGAAGATAGAAAACCGTCTAAAGGACCAAGGGCCATTGTGTCAGTCCAATTGCAATTGCTTGACCTGTGTCACGGGTAATAATTGTAGGACAGGTACCTATTGCTTTCTCCTTATCTTTATCCTTATCCTTATATCCTTATTATTATTAATATTATAAATCGGAAAGTGAGTTTGTTTGCTTGTTCCGCTTTCAAGCCGTAACTACTAAAACGATTGCTTTGAATTTTTGCAGACGTAAAGTTAGAAGTCTGGATTAAATAATAGAGTACCTTTCATCTCGGAAAAATTTGATATTCTCGAGGGAAAACGAAATTATTGGTATAGATGACGCTGTGTATTGGTATATGTCGCATAGGCTACTTTTTATCCTTTTGTGACGCGAGCGAAGCCGCGGGTAAAAGCTAGTTACCTATAATCGCAAGATTTCCGCTTGCGGCCTCTCCCACGTGGTTTCTTTTAAGTAGGTATCTTAGTTAGATAAAAGTGTGTTGTTTCCTGTAGCACAGGCGTGTCCATACAGGCTACACGCCTTCAGTTCAACTGTTTGCTCTACACATCTTACGATTTAACTGTACAGTTACGAATATTTATATCTAAGGATTTCCCGAAAATCCTACGTGAACGGGAACGAAGACGCGAGCAAAAGCTAGTAAATTAATAAAAACAATGATCGACGTAGGTATGTACCTATTAATAGGATGCTTATTTATTTTTGGTATGTTTCAGGTACAAATAAACCTGAAGAAAAAGACGAAGAAAATTATTATTATTTTTGATTTGATATAAAATTAATCTTACAAGAATTTGATGGTGTATTAAAGGAAGAGAAAATTAAACAAATACGCTTTATTTTCATTTTTGTTATACTTAAACATATTAGTTTACACAAAGACTAGCTTATGAACTAATTTGTGACTTATTGTACAGAAACATAAATAAGTTTTAATTAAAACTTAAACTTAGAAGATATACCAATGTGATGATGGTACATGGTAGGTACCTACAATAGGGTGTCGGTCAGTTTAAATGACAAAACACATTAAGATAATTTCAACCATTTTGTTCATACTTGGCTCATGACAAGAGTAAAATGGGCGCAGTACTTGAGATTTTTTAAAGAATTAAAGTCATCAAACAGAAAATCGTCAGATTTTAGGATGACTACGAATTAAATTAAAAATCTTTTTTCTACTCAAAAGTCATAAACCACTGAATAGAAATGGCATATCCAGTAGATTATGGAAAAAGGTAGGAGCTTATAGCCAATGGGCTTAGTAGAGACATTTTAGAAGTCGAAGTCGTATGGACGCTGAGGGCGCCTCTGGACCAATGGGATATTGACTTCCTCTGCGGAGCGGAACACTTGAGGCTGTGGCTGCGGCCTCTGTACTGGACGCGCCTGCAGCTGTACTGGTGCGGGAGGACGGCGGGGCTGTTCCTCCTGGAAATTTAAATAACAATTAGAAATATATACTACAGAAAACAACTAAGACTCAACATTGAAACATTTACAGAAAACTCTTCTATTATTACTTTAGGAGTTTATGACTGATTTTTCCATCACCATATAGATTTTTATACATTATATGGTTAGAATAAAATGAACATCTGACAGTGTTTGTGTAGAATAACTGTAAATATTCAAAATTATTCCTCTGATAAAATTATCTGGTGTTAGAAAAATCAGCTCCTAGTTAATTTAAATTATCGTTCCTACCTCTTCTTCTTCTTCTTGTTCGTATCTGTCGTCCCTGTAGACCTCAGCGGGGTAGTATCTGTCGGAGTACTTGAGGGACACGTTGGGTTTCCTCTGGACCTCCTCCTCGTTTACAGGTCGGTAAAGGTACTCGTTCACGAAGTGATACTTTGACGATTTCTGGCAGATGTTGTCGTGTGTCGGCGGCATGCAGATTAAGTGTACCTGTAAGAGGAAATGGAAAAAAAACATAAAATTATCGTTCAAATCTCCTGAATATTTAGGTAATTATTTTTTTTTTACATATTCTAAAGGTCTAAAGACATTGAGTTTCTAAAGCTATTCTTAAAAATTTCGAAGTCGACTAAGATTCATGTTCTAGCTAGATCAACAAAACTAAATACCTGGTGGAAGGAGAATCCGTCGGGGCAGACCCAAGAGTGCTTGACATTGTCCTGGCAGTAGTGGAACACTTCGCAGTTGAGCTCCTCGTCCGCGTAGTAACCAGTCTGCTTGTTCACGCAGTTGAATTTGGACTGCTGCAGCAGCTGGGACAGGCGGTCAGGTTCCTCTTTCTCCTCTTCTTCTAATTCCTCGTCAACTTCCTGGACTGGTCTTTGCTGCAGTTTCGCTGGACGTTGTTCCTGCTAAAGAAATTATTGTTGTTAATTCAGTATCGTACCTATTAAGCACCTTCATTACGAATTTATGCCCAACCGATTTTATTGCACCATCGTTTTCGGAACACAATTAATTAATCAGTCCACGTGGTCGACAAAACACTTTTGATGGCTACGGTAACCAACTAACCGTTAATCTGATGGCCTGTGAATTTTTTTCTGGCATTTCTAAATCTTGCAGAAGTAATTTGGTTCCAGTGCTTACCTTCCTATGTGGTGCTCTTTGAGGTTGTCTGGGTTCCTCAATGTACTGCTGTTGTTGCGGTGCAGGTCTTTGTTGGACCACGTATTGTGGTTCCTCTTGATGCTCCGATTGTCTCTGGTAGCCAGCCAGCTCGGCCAGTGAGGGTGATGGTCGGAATCCACTGGGCAATGTATTGTATGCATTTGGCGTGTACGCTCGCGGCCGTAGGTTGCGAGATTCCTGAAATGTTAAAGTTTTTATGAAAGGTATATTTCTCACATTATGTGTCTACCTAGATACTATTAAAAACGATTTGAACTACTTATAAATAGAAACATGGACCGATGTTGAAAATGGTAGGTAATAAAGAAGAAAAATTGAAAAATTCAATGAATCATGATTCTTTATTTTTTTTTAAATGATGCTACATAACCAGGTAGTCTACACGTTATAATTAAAAGTAACAAATTAATAACACTTGTCGCCAACGAGTGAGCTGACAATAACAATTACCACTTTTTAACAAATATGAACAATAAATGTCGTAGTATAACGATGCATTCTCACGTGTGCACTTAAATAACAGCTAATTTTTCCGGCCAATTAAACTGCACTTAATCGTGTTTTCCAAGCAACTAAAAAAACTGGAAGTAAGTGTAAGCAGTAACAGCGAAATTACATAATTTATGCAATTACCGGTGTATAATTTGTATTATAAACTGTTTTCATTTGTTGACGCGTGTTAAATTGCAACGCAATAGTTAATATTTGAAGGAAAAAATGTAGGCACAGGTGCAATCGTGCGGGACGACGGCAATGTGTTGTTATCAAGTATTATATCATTTGTTACATATTACACAGATCCGGGAGAGAGGACTTTTACTTTGTTAATGAGTTCGTGTTTTTAATTTCGTTTAAAATTGCATTTGTTTTGTAATAGCCGTTCATTGCTCTGGGCGACGTATGTGTTATTTATTGACAGACTTTGCAGAACATAAACCTACTTATTGGAAAGATCTTAATTGCCCTACCTACTGCTATTTAAACTAATTATCAATCTAGATACTGCTATTGACAACTACTGCTACTGACTGACGAATACTAGATCAATCGACATTTTTTTTAAATTGTCTTTCAAATCACAATTAACACATTTTTAATGCTATAAAAGATGCGTATTAAATTCCAATGGAATCGTAAAGAATTAATTTGAATAACAACATAACAATATTTGCATTTTTCTCACGCGATTACGCAAAATGAACTGTGAATCTAGAACTGTGGCGACTCGTAAAATGGATCATAAGAAAATTATCATAACAAAATCTCATTGTTTTTTTTATATCCGGAATAATAAAAATGAGACTATGGTAAAGATTACATCTAGAGTCCATTTCACGAAAGAAGTCCCGCAGACGCAGCGCTGTATTCGCGCGACATAATGTTGCCACGGTTAAATTTATATAGTATGGGGAAATCAGGAGAAATTGACATTAGTTTGATTAACTACGGACTCGAACAGTTCGAGGAATATTTTAAAAATAATGTCTTTTTATATAGGTATTTATGTTTATACTGCTAAGGTCAGATTAGTGAAAAATTAATCTTCCTGTAATTTCTAAAATATAAAATGGAAATAAAGATGTTCAACCAACATCAAATTAGAAACATAAAATAACATTTAAAAAGTTTTATTAAAGTTTTATTGAATAATTATGATCGGTCATACTATGATCACTGTCAGAAGAGTGAATAGAAACAGAATTAGATTCTGTTTCATTATCACTAGCCGTAGATATAATAAATCGATGCATTTCTTCATCCATAAGACCATCATTTTTTAAAAATATTCTTCCTCCAAATGCTGTACATGTTTGCATTGAACTGCCCAATCTTCCGCTGTAACAGTCTCGAACGCCTCTTCTGTTAGGCGTACAATTTCTTTTGGATCTTGGCCCACGTTTTTAACCGCTACCCGTCTGTTTATAACACACGACTCTCCGACACACCTGCAATAAAATGAACAATTAAAAAAAATCTAACAGTGACTTTTTCCGCATTTAATTATATTATTGTTGAATACAATTTTACAAATTTTTGTTGTGTTATGTTAATTCCTCATTAAAAAAACTTAAGTCTAATTGGTAAAAAATATGTTTAATATGGCAGCCCCAAAATTTACCTGTTATGGCGGCAACTCTTTTGCGAACATTGTCTAATGGTATTAAAACGCCGCGATTCTTCTGTTCCGCTTCACAGAACTCTTTCAATTTTAATATCATTTCTCGACCTGCACTTTTTACAACTTTTGGCATCGTAAATAAACCTTATAATGCACTAATTTAATAATAAACTCACAAAATATCTACCACAACAAACCCACCTTGACAACATCGACAAACGACAACATGGCCGAACTCCCCATTTGTCAAATTTAGTTCCACAATTGTCCGCGGGACTTCTTTCGTGAAATGGACTCTA